AGAACTTGTGTCGCTTAAGTTTCGTCGGAACGAAGTTACGGAAAATCAATTAACAAACGGAGACGTAACAATACAATAAATAGCATATTCATACGTAAGTTAGGTTTAAAACTCATACATAAGTAATAGTTGTAACTGAAGGTGGCGCCTGCGCTTCTCGTGTGAAGAAAATTCGTGTGATTTGGTTAAGTTCAAAGCTACACGACTGATTATCTGTACTCTTCCCACCACGGGTATCGAAACCCGATTTTTAGCGTTGTAAACCTATATACTTACAGCTGAGCTACTGGGGGAAACACTGTAATGATTTAAGTTGTTTCAGGTACATGCGTAACGATACACGAGGACTATAGTCAATAGCACCGACCTTCAACTCTTGGATTACTTAAAGTTTAACTGAATAAAGCGATTTGACTGTCACCCTTATAACTCACTTACTGCTCAAAATGCGAAATACAGTTTTTAAATTTATTTCTGCAGTAACGAGATACGAATATTGAATACACTGTCAGGAACTCTAAATGCTTAGCCACCCTCGGCACATTTGCAGAGTGTTATGTTTAACCAGCTTCTTTATTTTACACTACAGTATTAAATTTCTTGCACTTAGGACATATCTTTAGCGTTAGAAAAGAAAACAAAAAAGCCTACCTGCTCAATTAATATTTAGAGTTACCTGAATTGTCTCTTGCGTATCATGCATATTTTGAGTCTTTTTTTTTCAAACTATTATGTTTTCTTTTCACATACCTTTGTTATGTCTCTGGTCGTTAGTTAATTTTCCGTAAAAATTCTTTCCGAAGAACTTCAGCGATACAAGTCCTTTCTTAAATAAAACTAGTTTATTCTTTCTCAATACAACTTTGCAATACACTTAATTTCCACAGTCACTTTAATTTAAACACACGCTGTAATTCACAATGATTTACACACTTTACTTACAGCTTGATTCGATTATCTGTCTATATCTTCAATCTCTGTGTCTACTATTCCAGTTCCGATTAATTTGTCTCGCTTTATCTGGCGTGCTTATATACAGGAATAGAGGGCATCTAGCAAATACTGGATTATTCGTGATGTTTCCCGATCCTTCTAGAAACTCATCAAGTATTACCAGAGTCACGTGACTTCCGCTGTCGTAACACCTTTTTCTTCGTTCTTCAACATATCGTTTCCTATTTAGATAAAATCTAACACATTGTAACAGTCACATCAGTGGTAGTAACTTCATCAAGAGTTTCACTGTTTCCTTTCTCAAAATCGGGTAGAGTTTCTTCTTCGACAGTAGCTTTTTCAAGTGGCAGTCTTCAGCGGCGTCATTTGTTTCATTGTTCACTTCGTTCCAACTGAAATGTCCTGGACTGTGATAACGGCAAAGCCTGTTGGCATTCGCCACCTTTGACTTACCTCGCCGACCACATTTTATCCGGAAAGTCACGTCTGAGAGACGATTCATTATGTCATATGGGCTTTACTATGGAGATGACAACTTAGAAGACTTCCCTTTTGTCTTCCTGGGATTATACAACCACACCTTGTCTCCTGGTACAAAATTAACTTCAGTAGACATCTTATCATAACATAACTTCGTCGAATCAGCAGACGTTTTCAAGTTTGAATGCACTTGATGGTGAATATTATCCATCCTTTCCGATAACACTTTCACGAATTCTGTCACATTTTCAGGCAACTCTTCATAAGGTGGGTGTTCTGTTAACAGATCCACTAGCAACCGAAATTCCCGACTAAACATCAACTTTGATGGAGTGTATCCAGTGGTTTCATGCTCTGCTCTCCTATAAGCCATCAACAGTGGAGGGAGTAAGACATCCCAGTCATCTTGACGGCTATTACAAAACTTTGCCAATTTCTGTCCCAGTATCCAGTTGTACTTTTCTATCATCCCATCAGACTGTGGGTGAAGTGACGTTGTTCTGGTCTTTTGTATGATAAACAACTTGCAGCATTCATGAAACACAGTTGATTCAAAGTTACGGCCTTGATCTGATTGCAGTTCGTATGGCATACCAAATCTGAAGAAGAAATCACTAACAGCCGAAGCTACAGTTGTAGCTTCCTGATTTGGTATTACATATGCCTCAGGCCACTTGGTGAAATAATCCATCACCACACAAATGTACCTGTTTCCAGCACGAGTTTGGAGCAAAGGACCAGCAATGTCGATGGCTACTCTTTCCATTGGTATGCCAACTTGATATAACTTCATTGGAGCACATCTCTTATGCTTGGATCCCCGTTTAGCACAAAATGTACTGCATGTCCTGCACCATTCTTCCACATATTGTCTCATACCTATCCAGTAAAATCTCTGTCGTAGGTCTTCTTAACTCAGAGATGTCCTCCTGTCAAACTATCATGGGATTGACGCAACGTAACTTCCCGTATCTTTCTCGGTATAACCGTTTGCCAGGTCGTCACTTTCCCATCTCCTGAGAAGAATACCATCTTCAAGCTTCCACTGGTCCCATTGTGCCTAATAGTTCTTTGTCACAGGGCTTAGACTAAACATCTTCTCCCAAGCAGGGTACAAAACACTTGCTTTTAGAAAATCAATTATTGGCTTCAAATCTTGGTCTTTCTTCTGCTCTGCTTTAATATCTATACCTGATCCTACTTCTGACACCAATTTGTTACGTCTCTGTTCGTTTGATAATTTCCCGTAAAATTTCTTCCCGAGAAACTTCAGCAATACAAGTATTTTCTTAAATAAAACTAATTTTTTCTTTCTCAATTCAACTTTGCAATACACTTAATTTCTACAGTCAGTTTAACTTAAACACACGCTATAATTCACAACGAACGATTCCTGCACTTTACTTACGACTTGACTCGATTATCTGTCTCTATCTCTTCAATCTGCAATTATTCATATATGTGCCGTCACTTCCTGCCGGTCTCATATATACGAAATAGAGGG